CGCCTGCAGCGCTCAGCCCCTGTCGATCCCACAGTGCGCAGCTCACAGGACTGACTGTGTAGCCAGATCTCACTGTCCTCAGGAGCTGAGCACGCCCCTCTAAGGACTGCTGAGGTGGACCAGTAGGCGGCGCTCTTCTCTCTGGTCCAGGTTTTACAGATACCTCGCTGTGGTGACTGAGAGCACAGGGCTGCAGGAGCTGGGTTATTTCCAGGGATAAGCTGCGGTCCTGTCTGCGTGGTCATTGAAGATCTCGGGGCTCTGTTGGTGAGAGTGTTAACCCCACAGTTAACACACATTCCACCCTGGGCCGTCCTGCACTGCAGCTGTTTCTTGGGTCTGTGGTTCGTGTTTCTTCTCCGTATGAACCAGGTGGGTTTACAGTAAATTAGACCACCTCAGGATATGTGGACATTAATAAACTCCAATGCATGTAGTCCTTAGAAAAAGTGTTTGTGAACTTAACATTAGACCATTTTCATTTGAAAAAAATCTTCAGAGACAGATTTTCTTAGACTCAGCAGGTGGTATTGAAAGTAGCATTTCTATTTTTATATTTTAAAAGATTAATTAGGCAGTCATTCATCAAACTTGTTAAATATATAGACACTATATATATATACACACACACACAGAAGAGCATTAAATCACAAGAAAATTAAATTATAATACTCATCTGTTGTGGATCTAGATGCTTCTCAGCTCAGTTATGTGAGTTTGTTGAAAATTGCTCAGGTTGTGCAGGTTTATTGAATATTAGTGAAATGGCTGTAGTAATTTAGCTAATGCAGCCTGAGCTCTCCAGCATGATTTTGGAGAACCTGTCTGTTTAAAATTAAATTGCTGCCAGGGTGTGTGTTACATGCTTAAACTCTTCTGGGCACAACGGAGTTTGTATTTCACAGCTCAGCCACAGAAGTTACTTTTTGACTCCATGTAGTTTCAGGACAGGCAGTAGCTCCAGGTCTGCAGTTACTGCAGGTGTGAGGCTGAGCCGAAGCAGCTGTATGAAGGCAGGCACAGCAGTGTGCCGGAAGGCAGCAGCAGAACCAGGATAAAAAGAACCCGAACACTGGACCATTGAACTCTGGAAATGAGTTCTGAACGTCTGCCGGAGGCAAGTTCTCTTAACTCCGCTAGGGCATCCTCCACCGCGCAATAAATGTTAAAGCACAGAGCGGACTGATAATGGAGATGTCCGCTATTCTGCAGCCGCTGCGGTCATTAAACCAGGAGGAGCCAGCTGGACGCGTCAGAGCACGACCTTGCAGGACAAAAGACGAATCCAAGAATGAGCTAGACTAGACTGAAACGCTGTTAAGTTTGCAGCCTGTAATTATTAATTATTTCTACACTGGTAAGAAACCAGAAAACATGTTTCCACATAATAGAACATGTTCCGGGATGTTCCAGCCTGACTACACACTGGGCAAAGGTCTGTCTGCTAACATAGTTGAACACTGGAAGAGCCATTCCTAATCCTGACCTGCAGCTGACTACGCCGATATGGAATTTTCCAGAATGCGATGATGGGACAAATAGAAAAAAGGGGGGTGTGAGCGAATAACATTAAGTAATCTATTCTATGCAACTTTTTTAGACATTTAAAAATATATATATATTTGCATATTAAGATTTATGCATTTTTACTTTGATCAAAGAAAACAGTAATAATCATAAAAACGTAATACACTTCAAACGTTTAAATTGAAAGAACTGACTGACTTACAGCACTGTAGCTACACCTGGTGTCGGGACAGCTACATTCTAAATGGAGTAAATTAAAAGAAGGACAGTTCTGAAACCTTGCTGTTATGGAAAGAAATTTCACTTCTGCAGTTGTAAAGGTGTTTCTCCTGAGTTAACAGAGTGCAAGGCTTCAGGAAGATGTGGTTATCCTGACCTGGAATCCAGCACAACACCTGCCTGGGCTTTGCAGGAATGGCAGAGGCCTGGAGTACCACTGCCTTGTGCTGAAGCGCTCTGCGACAGTGCTGGACGAGCTGAAAGGGGCTGCAGTAGTTTTTAAATTTAAATTTAAATCACGATGTTATGTTAAAATTGTACGCTGCACAAGTAGGACCTTGTGTAATATTTGTGTACAATTTTGGTTACTTCCCTATAGAAAGCTACTGTTGCTCTGGAATCAGTCCTGTTGAGAGTCAGTCATTCCTGTGGGTAAGGGCATCTCTTTCGAGTTAAATACAGATAGGGAGGGATCCCGACAGAAGATTCACAATCAGTGAATTGGCATCAGTGCCCGGCGCTAAAGACACTTAAAGCTTTTGGTAATGCCTGGATAGACAGTAGGGACAGCTCCCCCTAGGGGCCTTTAAGAGCATGCTCGCAGTTTTCTGTGCACTTAAAGCCGCCACGCTCTGCAATGAGGTGGCACAGGGGGCCAGAGGCAGCAACGAGTGCAACAATCTGTCTGAACCCTCTTGAGCTCTAGACACATTGGCAGGAACCAACCCTCTCTCTAAGGCGGCGCTTCCTGGGCTGCCACTTGAACGCGCAGGGCAGGTTCACCCCCGCTGCTGATCGCAGGACACCGGTTTTGACTGTTACATGTTTTCATCACGGGCAGAGGCCGTTTTTCTGAAGGACTGGCACATTTCAGGTGAAGAGAACAGAGCTGACAACTATATTTGGAAGGGCCAAGCAATGACGCAGAGGTTAACTCCATTCTGAAAAGTAGGAAAGAGTGGGGATATTGGCCAGCAGCCATATCACCCTGCAGCTCACAGCTGGCAGCCCCACTGGAGCTCAGCAGGTGTGAGCCTGGTCAGTACCTGGAGGGGAGACCTCCTGGGAAAAACTAAGGCTGCTGCTGGAAGAGGTGTTAGTGGGGCCAGCAGGGGGCGCTCACCCTGTGGTCCATGTGGGTCCTACTGTCCCAGTGTAGTGACAGGGACACTATACTGTGAACAGGTGCCATCCTTCGGATGAGACGTAAAACCGAGGTCCTGACTCTCTGTGGTCATTAAAAATCCCAGGGTGTTTCTCGAAAAGAGTAGGGGTGTAACCCTGGCATCCTGGCCAAATTTCCCGTTGGCCCTTACCAATCATAGCCTCCTAATAATCCCCATCTATGAATTGGCTTCATTACTCTGCTCTCCTCCCTACTGATATCTGATGTGTGGTGAGTGTTCTGGCGCACTATGGCTGCCGTCGCATCATCCAGGTGGGGCTGCACACTGGTGGTGGTGGAGGGGATCCCCATTACCTGTAAAGCGCTTTGAGTGGAGTGTCCAGAAAAGTGCTATATAAGTGTAAGCAATTATTATAAGGTAGTAGTTCAGGTGGGTAGCTGCGTCAGCATGCGTAGGCTGCAAAGGAACAAGTAATAGGTTTATTCCATGCTGAAAAAAAGAAGAAAGAGAACACAACGTTTCGGCCGTGGAGCCTTCTTCAGGTGTGAGGGTATATCCTTTACCACATCAACCTCTCCATTGACAGGTTTTTGCACTCCCGCGGAATTAGTCTTCCATCTTCCCCAACACTTTCACACATTCCTGCCCCTCGATTCCCACATGCAGCAGAAAGGTTGATCTTTTCCATGTGGAATTAACCTTTACAGTGTACTGCACCACCCTGCTTGCTCTGTTTGAAAGCTGCATGAAGCCCATGGTGGATACTTACAGTATGAGTCACATGAGGTGCATGGCACTGCCCATCATCCATCAGTTTGCCAGAGGATGGAGTTCGGTTCAGTTTGATGCGCAACCCAAAATAGTGTCCGTCAGTCCAAACAAGACTTTTCAAAGGTGAGTAGTGAGTACTCACAAGTCTATTTACAGCACAACATACATGTGCGATATGACCACTGCTGCCTTGATTCCTGGTCAAATCTGTAAGGCAAATGAGGTCAAAGGGGGTCTTCAAACTTTAACAGCTTATTTGACATTCCAGCTTTCTGTGAAGTTTAGCTAGATCCTGGATTTCTATTTCATGAGGGTTACCTTGTGTTGTAGAGTGCATAGTTATCTGACAGACCTCTCAACTTATCAGCAAGGAGGGTCTGTAACACCTACTGTAACGGTTTTAAAATTGGTGGAGGGAAAAAAATAGATGCAAATTGTTTAAGCTACTTGACAGTGTGCTGCAAAAAGTAAAATATCATTTGTTATTCTACACTGCAGAATAAAAAAAGTCCTCTACTATATACTGAGGTTTGTATTTGTATAATTTATATAAACATGATTAAGAGTACCACACTGTACTTCTGTAACTTGCAGATTAAAATGGTGTTCATGACTGGAGCACTATACTGTTGCCTATTAGCAGCTTGTGACCTTTGGCCTGTTCTTTTTAAAGCAGGCAAAAGTAGTGCCCATTCTGAGCTTCTTAAAGAAGTTATGCAACAGCTTTCCATTTTGTTACTTCTACATTTTACAAGCTTGCCAGAATCCCAAATGTTACAATTTAGCATAGATCTCAAATATCATACCATAGAACAGTAGGTCACATCTTCAGTTCTAATAACAGCCCCAGTGTCAAGATACATGCAATGAACTTCCACCAAGTCAAAATGTTCAGGGTCACGAGTCCTTGATATTCGGACACCAACTGGAAATGGTTCAAGTCAAAAGTGTTAACTGTATTTGGAAACGCATTCCACCCTTAAGTGCTTGGACACGGAAGTTCAGTCTGGTCTTGGGATCAAATGTTGTAAGAAGCAGGAGATAATTGTACAAGAGAACAAACCAAAGTTCAAAGACTCAGAAGTCACAACATGCAAATGCCAGGTTCCAGATTCAAGAACAGGAGTAATATGAACAAACAGGAAGCTAAGATTCCAGCTACTAAGCTTGAGATGTGCCGCTTTTTAAGTGTAAAGATAAGACTACAAGCAGGACACTGCAATATTCACTTGGAGTGAGAACTACTCTTCTGCAAACCACAAATTAACAGGCTGAAGTTGTCTAGAAGGAGTTAATAGTGTTACGTTTGTTTTAAAATCTAAAAAAATGTAAAAGACATGAAACCAGACAGGCAAGTCAGTTTTAAATAAATTTTAATTTTGTTTTTGAAAAAAAAAAGGAAAAAAACAATCACATCCTATCAAAATAAACCAGTTCATCATATCTGAACTGAATGACATTTTCTGTTCAAAGCAAACTTTGCTCAGGAGTTTACCTGGTTTCAAAAAACTATTAACTGACAATATTCACAAGAGGATAATGATTCAGAAACAAATCTGCCTCTCTATGCTTGCAACTGAGATAAGGAAAAATCACAATGAATACGTAGTATACACAAGAAAAATAAAAGTTTTATATTCTGAATTACCTCATTATGCTGTACACAGATGAACGAAAAGTCCAACAAAAACTTATACAAGACACTATCAAAAAGTAAACATGACCTTTTATGGTAATCACACTCAGTTGAATTAGAAACAGCTTTTAAGTAATAAGTGTTGGCATACATTTTTAAAATGCCACAAAAGTTACCACATTTCTTTTAAAAAAGTCAAAGAACTTATAAAGATCCAATATGAAAAAAACTTCCCAAAGTGTTCTCTTCTCCTTAGTACCGCCCTGCAAAAAAAAAAAAAGACAAAAAAGTCACCTCAGTGTATGACTGCAACATTAAGGTCTACAATTGAAGACACCATGCCCCTAACCCAGAAGGGCCCCGTCAGTTTTCATTGATGAACTTAAGGGTATAGATTCACCTATATACAGCTGGATGCTGATCTCACTGCCCCAGAAAAACTCCCACTAAACTGCGCTCTGGGACCGCCAGCGGCCAGAGGAGCTTGACTTGCATCACCCCCCCTCCACAGGCCCACACATTCGCAACCTCGTCGGACCCCAAGGATGGCACGACAACGCGCCGACGTTAAAACCACGGGGCGCCATCTCTCGGCCACCGATCTAGCAAGCCGCTCCCAGCAGGTCAGCGTCATTGACCGGGGTGCCTCACAACGCCCTGACCAGCGGATGTGTGGACGCCAGGCCCCGACGTGCAGCCCTAGCAGAGCGCGACCCGCTTCAGCTACACGACCCCCCTACGGGGAAGGCCGCTCGGCTCCCAGTGGCGCAGCGAGGACACCACCGGCGCTGGCCAGTCCTGCCGGATACTCACGGGGGCTGTACGAGCGAGACCGGGAGCGGGATCTGTATCGGCTGTAATACGGGGAGGGGGATCGCCTCCGGCTACAGGGGAGAAGACGAACACAACGTCAGTACCGGCCAACAAGTTTCACACAAGATCTTGCACAAAGCACTTGAGATTTACAGCCCATGGTAACATCCGGGCAACTTTTTACAATTTCGGAGGCACGGGCTTTCACACACAGCTGCCCGGTCAGCTCTTTATACTGGATGAAGTTAGACGACGCACTTAGTTGACACAGAACGCCAACACGCTCTTGCTCACCTGTATCTGTAATCGTACTCGTCGTATCTGTCGTATCGGTCGTAGCCTCTGTCGTAGTAAGAGTCCCGGCGACGCCCGCCGCTACTGCTGCCACCATTGCTGAAGGAGAACACACTACTTTTCAATAAAAAAGTGGGTTTCCCCCACCTCTGCTGCTGGCAGAACACAACATGGAATGATTCAGCACAACTGAATTCCTGTAGACTACTAAATCAAAAAGGGACAGACCGCCATGCATTTCACACACACAAAAAAAAACACGACCTCGTAATTCTAAGCAAAATGTAAACTAGCACCAAAAAACCTGTATTGGCTTTTGTGCAATGATGTCTACTTGCGGCACGACGACACCGGTCAGCGGAACTCAAGAGAAACCTACTGGGTGGGCCGCCCCATGTAGATGCCAGGGGTGGGCGTGTGTGGGCGTTTTGTGATGGAGTAGTCCACTCTGATGCGCCTCCCATCCAGCTCCATTCCGTTGGCACGCTCCATCGCCTACGTGCACAGAGAACAGGGTTACACCTACTGAAAGCCCTTACCCTGTACAGAGGTGCACAACTAACTGGCAAAAGGCACAGAAAGGGAGACAGTGTATTACTGTCCTACACTGCCACCCAGTGGTACATATCAGCCTGTGGCACGGAACAGTCCAGAACAGCTCAGGTGAGCTCGTCATGCACTTTGCCACAGACACTGTGGAGTGGCACCGCGCTCATAAACCCCAGAACCGCCAGAAGGCGCTCATCTCTCTTCCCTTCAGCTGCCCTGCCCAAGCCGCCCCCGCCTGGCGCCGGACGGGCCGGGGGAACCCACCTCCTTGGCGTCGTCGATTCTCTCGAAGTAGACGAAGGCGAAGCCCCTCGAGCGGCCGGTCCTCTGGTCGTACACCACGTTGACCCCTGCCAGCGGCCCGTAGCGGGAGAACACCTCGCGCAGGTCCCGCTCCGTCGTGTACAGGCTCAGGCCAAACACCCCCAGACAGGTGTTCGGGTCAGGGTTGGCCTGCGGGGAGACGCATCTCACTGATAGTAGTATATAGTAGGGCAATATCGTTTTTTCACACTAAAGCTTCACTTATTACAGTAGTGTGGAGTGTACTTCCGGTTTCCCTAACTGCCTGGAGACAGACCACAGCTTAAGCAACAGTGTTTAAAGCAAGGCTCGTCTTGTCAACAGTGAAAGTTTTCAACACAGACTCCACTTTATTTATCAATACATATTATACTTTCCTCCAGAAGACAAGATGGAATATGAAAACTAATGGGCAAATATAAGTAAATAACACTTTAAAAGGTCCAAAAGCCTGTAAGTAAATATACAGCCCTCTTTAAACTAAGGTAATTATTTCCATTACATTTAAATGTTCACAGAGCATTAATTTAAGGTTTTACAATAAAAACGACAAAAACAGAGTTGACATTTGTGGGTAACTGTTTTGACAGTTTTAATAACCCCTTTTGAGAAACTGCCTTCCAAAATCCTTCAAAAACATCACAATATACATAAAAAAAACACCTGACACCTCATTTCTAGACACTCATTCACATCTACGTAAAGCTACCTATTCAGTTTAAAAAAAGATGGATAAATTTCAACATACCCTGGCATCACTATGACTGTATGTTTCTTTTTTGAAGTCATTGCTGAATCTGGTCTGTTGAATAAAAGGGGTTATTAAAATTGTTTAATTCCACGGCGTTCTTTCCGTTGATCAGTGAAATGCACAAATCACACTTCGTCGGGCAGAGGCGAAATCACAGCATCGGTACCAGAGCAAGTGTTAAAACTCCGCAGACCATGCAAGTCAGAGCCCAAGACTGGAGCCGGAGGAGACTCACCCTGCTGCCCGTGTGCCGGCGGCGGTTGGACATGGGCGAGGTGCTCTGGCTCTTCTTGCGGCGGTAGTCGGGGGAGTAGGAGCGGCTGCGCGACTTCTTGCGGTGCGAGTGGGAGCGGGAGCGGGAGCGCGTGTAGTGCCGGTGGGAGTGCCTCCTGGAGCGCGACCTGGGGGCGGGAGGGACCCCCCAGAGAGCGTGAGAGCCGCCCGACGCCACGGGGGAACCCCAGCACCACCACCCCCCCACGCCGGGCTCCCGACTGCCCGCGGCGGAACGACCTGCCGCTTCAGGTAAACTCGACTGAAACACAGGCGCCACGGCGGGCTTACTCAAGCCCCCAGATCAAGCGGCCGCCCGACCTGCCCTGGAGAAACCCAGAGCAGCACGGCCCCCACCCAGCCGGTCCACTCCGCAAGGGCCTCACACACACGGCAGGCAGGACTCACCTGGACTTGGACCTGGACTGCGACCTGGACTCGGACCGCTTGGAGGCTCGGGAGGGGCTGTGGGACGCAGACCTGCTCTCGGACTTTACGTGAGCGGGGCTGCCTCGGTCTGATTTCGACTGAGAGCGGGACTCCTAGTGTTACAGGGGCACGTTAAAAAACACGCTGCAAACCACACGCGCTCAGGCTGCAATACATTAACAGAACTTCATGTGCTGTAGGAGAAAGGGTTAAGATTCCATCACTTCATTTTTTTAAAAATAAATCACCCTCTACTGTTTAATTTGACAGTATTATAACAGTATCCCTTGAATTAAACACATTTCCCTACTTACACCTGATCACCATAGTATAAACTACATTGATCATGCATTTTAGACTACAAATAGGAGAATACAGACACTTGGAACATAAACCATACGTTTACTTAACCTAGGACTCATTCATTCTTCCAGATTCTTTTAATGCTACTTCTCTCAGGCTTTCTACTGTTCTTCATTCTTCGTTTTTCCGTTTCATATTCCGGGTTTTCTTCCCCAAATTGAAACCGTTTCACTTAAGACTTAACAACGCACGTGCTTCTATCTGACCATTCTTCCGTTCATTTTTTCCCTTCACATTTTATTTTCTGATCTGTACAAATTTTCATTAGCCTTCTTTTATCTTGGATATTCTTCCACATTCTTGGATAATACTCTTCAAATCCTTCACGATCAATTACCTTAACGAAAAAAGAACATTCAGTATAATTAAGAACATGGGGTTTGAAAAGAAAAAAATGCCTGCTGGATCTTTCTATACGTTAAAAGGCAAGTTTAAAAAAAAAGATCTTATCCAGCAGGATAAAAAGAACAATTGCACTAGTTGCTACACAAATGTTTACAGGCCTTGTATGGAGGTAACCCACTTATGATGCACGCCATTACAGACCCAGGGTGCACCAACTACAAGCTGCAACACAAAGGCTGCTGAAGACTTTGTATTCACTTTAAATCAGATCTCCTAGCCACGGAAGACCACGCAAATTATAGATATTGTCTAGCAAAGCGCCAGGGGCTGACGAGGTCACGGAGCTGGCAAATTCAAGACGACCAATGCGTCGGATCGCTAGGATCATTTTCAGTGAGCATTAAAACAGCGTTCGGCGAGGGACTGCGCTTCAAAACGGACAAGCACAGGCCGCCCCACACGCTCTCCGCCGCGACAGGCTTCGCTGAACCGCAGCTAATCGGAGGGCAGCCGTGCCCGCATCCCTGCCGCTCCTGCCGACAGGCTGCAAGCCTGCACCGGGCCGGCACTGTCCCCCCCCCCCGGCTGCAGCCCTAAGCTTTCACACGCCCGACGGGAGCCCGGCCGGGTTACAGCCGCCTCTCCGCAGCCCGCAGGATCGGTCTCTGCCGAGCCCGGCGCACAGCACCCACGCGGCCGCCGCACGGTCACCCCGGCAACCCGGGCCCGCTCCCGCCGCGAGCCGCGCGGCGCCCGACCGCGGCTCGAGCGGCGCCTCGGCCCACTCGCCTAACGCTCGGCTACATCAGCCCGCCTTCGACAGAATATTACATAACAAAAAAACAAACAAACATCACGGTTTTCCTGACTAGATACGTGATGTACCAGCACTGCCTTATTTCTACTGAAGCGACGGCAGCCCAAAAAAAAAGGCACAACGACCTGAAAAAAAAACACACGTAACTACGTATCGTTTTAACTAAAAATACTTACTCGTCCTCCGAAATTGCTGTCCTCGATGTCACTCATTTTCTACGGACGTTTAAAGTATATAAAACAAATCTACTGCTAACCCTAAAAGGAAAATAATATTTAGAAATTCTTACAAAACAACCTACGTTGCTGCCTGTGTTAGCCTGAGAAAATGGCGACGGGCTGTTTTCGGTTTTTATTGCTCATGGGAGGTGGGGCACGGGCGCTTTACGTCACAAAGCCCGCCCTTCTTCTTCCCATGAGCCTCAGCGACAATACAAAATGGCGGGTGGTACCGCAAGCTTGTCTCGTGTAACTGGCGCTACTATCAAAAGCAGTTTATTTTCAAACTTAAGAAACGAAGCATAAAATAACTCAAATGTATTCACAACATACAGTGGCATAAGCAGATAAGTAGAAGACGACCATGTCTAAGCACATTTGTGAATGTGTGATACTGTTTGTTTCCTCTGCCCTGGTCCAGTGTTCTAAGTTTGGAATTGTGATTATCTCTTAATAAATATGATCTAACACATTTATGGTTATGGTTGCTAATGATTTAACATATGGTAATGTCTACAAATATTCCTTTTGGAATATGTTTTTGGAGGACAGTGAGGAGGTTCAGTGGTAGCAACTTTTTGTACAGCTGGATCTAAGTTGACAATGTCCATGGTAACTCTGTTACCAGTAAATCACCCTTGATAAAGACATTGACAAAATGAATATGTATGTCTCCATGTCCATTGTTCAGGCAGTGTGGTAACGGCCTGTCTCATTGCCCGTTGGCCAGGCAGTGTGGTAACGGCCTGTCTCATTGCCCATTGGTCAGGCAGTGTGGTAACGGCCTGTCTCATTGCCCATTGGTCAGGCAGTGTGTTAACGGCCTGTCTCATTGCCCATTGGCCAGGCAGTGCGATGGAACTGTCTTTAGACTATGTCCATTGGTCTCCATGTCCACTGGTCACTATATATCTTAGCACTTTGTTTGTCTCTTAATTTACTTCTCTACATTGTCTAGAAGATGTAAAAGATGCGTCAACCTCAACATCTATTTTTCATACGTAGCCTCTTCTAGGATCATATTTATTTCAATACTTACTACCAATATATTTCTTCTATAAATGACATCATATAATCTGCACTTTAATATCAACCCGAGAGAGCTAACAGATGTTGAAAGAGATTAAGTAGTTGGTGACTGAACTGCAGGTGTGTCAGTCACAGAAAGTCCAACATGATTTAATGTCAGTGGGAAGGATGTCAAACGTTATGACGACACATGCCACACAAGGGAAAACAGCATCAGGAAAGTGGTCACAGATCAAAGCTCATCGACAGGGACAGATGGACACTTCACAGGACACCTCTGTGACACAGTCACAACAAAATCTGTAAACAAAACCTGGACTTCGGAACAGTGGAAGAAAGCAATATGGCCTGATGAGCCATTTTTTACTCTTTTCCCTTCATCTGGATGGGTTTATGCTTTATTTCTTGCAAAAATAAATTACAGCTCTGAAAATAGTTACATGCGATGCATGTTATTTGAGATGATCACGTCTCTGGACATTCGTTTCTGCGGGCTTTTTGAGGTGCAAAAGCCCTTCAGCATTAACAGTTACTGTTTACATTTCCACAGGCCAGAGGCTGGGGGACTTGTTGGCCTTGTCCTCCTCTTACACTGTGACTGCCTGAACGTAGTCACAGAGGAGCGGTTTCAGGCAGGTTGTTATGTCTTCAGCCTTTCTGATGGCCTAGCTGTGGAGAACCCCCACTCTCGGTTCAAGCCTTCTTCTTCACCTGAAGAAGGCTCCACAGCCGAAACGTTGTTTCCTTTCTTCTCTTTTCAGCAGGGAATAAACCTTTATTTGTTCCTGTGCAGCCTACGCATGCTGATGCAGCTCCCTACTTCAACTACTCTCCTGCTAGAAACAGTTAATATCTTGTGTAACAGTATTCCAGGAAGGACTGAGGTCGTTCTGAAGGCAAAGGGAGGCCCAGCTCCTTTCCAATTAATATTTATATGCTGCTTAGTGTTTCCATTATTCTGTCCACCCCTTGTTTATGTGTATAGTTTTGAGAAAAAAGGCAATTCATTGAAGGAAAGTAATCAAAATAGATTTATTGATTATTGAGTTCAATATCTGATGAGACCCTTTGTCTGTGTAAAAACAATGAACAGTGGTTTATCATTTGATATGAACTTGGATGCAACAAGCAAAAAAAAAAAATACAGAAGTGATAGAAAATTTTGAATACCTGACAAAGTTACATGGTGCTTTTCTAGGTACACATTTCAAGTGCTGCACATTTCAGAATTAACAATGGACATTTTTTTACCTTTCAACTGAGGGAAACTATACAAGACACGAGAATACAGGCTGTGAGCACTCAGAAATCAAAGAAACACCATGCTGTGGCCTTTCCATTCATTCC